AGACGTCTTAGGGTCAACCGAATGGCCACTATCAAGGAGATGTTTTGTAATGGAAGACCGTGGAGTCTTGTTCTCCTGCTTTAGAAGCCATTTAGGCAGGTGCTCAACTGCTCTGGCTGCCAGTTGCCTTTGCATTCCCCCAATGTACTTGCATCCACAAGTACATGTAAATTCGTAAACACAATTTGACGTGGCGTACAATGGCAAGGCATCCTTCGCCCTAGCCTTAGATGAGTTCAGCTGCGTTGTAAGTTATTTCAATAGTGCATCTCAATCGCCGCTTGATGGTATTAGAGATGTTGTCGGCCCTAAAGGGTAAGGATATTATAACGGGCTTTTTTGGAACAGATTGCTCCGTCAATTTTGGCCGCAAAGTGCTGCTGTACTTTTCGATGAACCGTGTTGGATATCCCCGTTTAAGCAGGGCTGTTTTTAGGCAAGAAATTTCATCATCCAGCGTTTCAATGGAGCAAATCTTTCTTGCTCTTTGTAATAGAGTGTAAACCAAATTTCGCTTTCGTTGTATCGGCACAAAGCTCAAGAAGTGTAGGTATTGGCCTTTCCATGTGTCTTTGTGGAAAACAGATCGCCGTATTGAACCATCTTCCTGTCTAGTCATGAGGACATCCAGGAAAGAGAGCTTGTTGCACTGCTCCTTCTCCATTGTGAATCTAATCTTAGGATAGAGACTGTTCATGGCATCAAGTAGGTCTTCGGCTTCATCGTCGTTATCAGCAATAGCAAAAATGTCGTCTACATATCTTTTGTACAGTGTTTTCCTATTCAATTTTTCTGAGAACTTTTCTTCTAGGTGACCCATAAAAATGTCGGCAAGGGTTGGACCAAGTGGACTTCCCATTGCCACTCCATCAATTTGTCTGTATATCTGTCCATTGAACAGAAATTGAACGTTTTTCGTGCATAGTTTCAACAGGTCGCGTAATATTTCGGGTGACAGGCGGGTTTTAGACGCATGGTCGCGTATGATATCGATAGTCTCATCCAGCGGCACATTTGTAAATAGTGATGCAACGTCCAAAGATATCATAGTTTTGTTGGAAATGTTCTAATGCTTTATTTCTTCAATAAAGTGGAAACTGTCTTTTATTGTGTAAGTTGAAAATAGGTGTCGTATTGGCTCTATTTCCTTGACAAGCCACTGTGCTAGTCTGTGTTGGGGTGAATTAGACATAGACAGAATTGGTCGTAGAGGTATGTCCTTTTTATGCGTCTTTGGCAATCCATATAGTCTGGGGATACATGTTCCCCTCGGTTTCAAGGATAGAGCGGTTTTTTCATCAATCAGACTTTTGTCCAACAATTGTTTAATTATTTTCCAGGCGGATTCTTCCACTGCCTTGGTTTCATCTTTCACTTGCGTTTCTGCTGTATTTATCTACGTCTTTCCTTCGTTGTTCCACTCGTGTAGAATCGCCTGACCGATGCATATTTGTGCCGCCTAATCAGGATTTCAAAATAACGTTGCCCTTGATAGGTGATTTCCTATTCATCGTTTATCCTGCATAATTTGGGTAGTAGAAACTGGTAAACGAACTTCCGTTCCAGTAACCTTTTAAGACTAGATCACTTTGGCAAATCTGTGATACTACAGTCGCCTTATAGTATAAAGCATCGCCTATTTCATAAAATTGACTACCCTGCACGCTAAAACCACCATAAGTTCGCAACGTTTGTTTTCTGGTAGCATCTCTGAAGAAGGAATTCGCCAAAGATATGTGTCTGCTTTTCCAAAATGCACTTCACATTCCCTACCTTGTTTTAGTACGGTTGATTTGTAAAGTACGATTTTCAGCTAGCATGATGGCATGGAATTGTTGTCGACCACATTTTGATATAAGAACGAAAAACGACACCATCACTGTGCCCAATTACTTAGCGCATTTTGATCCATTGTCAGAAAGCCAAACACTCGTCATGGTCAACGCATGTCTTCGGTCAGCAATGTTCAACTGCACACGTCTGCAGTTTTTACCGGAACTCTAGAAAACGGATATCGCATAATCCGTATTCAACACGGACGTTTGCGAGCCCGGCAGTCCCCTTCGCAATCTGATATCAAAAGTTGGGTTTTTTGAGAAATTGGAGCAACTACGAATGTCGCAAAATGGAGCGACATTGATCAGGAAAGGGAGGGGGAACGTTCACAGGGAGAGGATGATTTACGATATGACGTTTTAAGTAATGAGTTCGGCTACAAATTCTTAGAGCTTGCGAGTCATGGGAAGGGCCCTCAATATGAGGAACATTTTGCTTGATAAGAAGGCTTCGCCTGACTTCAGCCGTTCGAAATACCCGGCGTGGATTGCAAACCACCACCCCCGCTCCGATTTGTAGTCCAACCTTTTGACATCCAGCTGACACTCATGCAGCCGCAAACTTTCCTTACTGGGCGGAGGAGAACTATGCGGATGTTCACCCACGTCGATTTGCGCCCGGTGTCCATAGTCACCTGGGATAGATGATCTCGTCTTCTCACCGCCAACTGACGTTCGCACGTACGGGTCAGGAGACATTTTCTACTCAGGCCAAAATAGGCATCTTCACAAATTGCACTGCGTTGTATATATACATATAAAAGAAAATAAAATGATCAAAGAAACCATAGTTATATTGATTGAACGTTTCGGAGGCAAACAAGCTTCCATCATCGGAGGTGGCTTGCGTACGGCACGTGACAGTAGTTAAGAGTTTTTCTTCGTGCGTGCGTTCACTGACTTCCAGCGCGCTGCATCACGGGGTTGGCGATTGTTGTCGTGGTAGCATCGACTCCTCCTCATCATTTGTCGGGTGTGGGGAGAAGGGCAGCGTCTGGGTGACCGCGGCTATTGCTCTTGTTTACATTCTCCGTTGTCCGCCCTCCGCGTATCTCGCCTTCCTGCCCCGTTCACACCTGCCCGTAACCGTATGAAGGCTGGTTGTCACGCTAGTGTTGAACTGGGGTTGCAGGTCCCTGTCATTGTCGTTATTTCTTGCCAGATGCGCGTTCAGACGCATTAGGCGGTCTCCTAGGTTTGTTTCGCCGTCGGTTGTCCCTGTTTTCGTCCGTGTTTTTGCTTGGCCTGGATTTGACAACCGCCATCTCCGGTCTGGCTTCTCGCTCTTAGTCCTGCTTATTAAACTTCACTCGTGTAGCTTGGTAGGTAGCCGATAAATGTGAGCGGCGGTTAATCGAGGTATATGTAGCGTGCCATGCTTCGAGCGTCTTCGGGACCGTTTGATCGCTTTCCTGGCCCAAGACTTCGGCGTTTTGGAAAGCAAAGGCATGTTCAGAAGCTGCAAAATCTTCCGCCACCAGCAAGAGCTGATCCATTCTTTGTACCTTCCTTACGTGTTCGCACATTCGGGTCTGCAATTATTTCCAGATCTCTCCAACGAAGTTGGTTTCGCAGAAGCTCGACTGGATCCGATGGACGACGTTGGTCGTTTTGCCTCATGGCAGAGACGCTGTTAGTCTCATGATCAGACGTCTGATTGTGGCTTCAGGCTTGTGGGCGATGCCGATGCCCAAATGGTTAAAAGATATGCGCCACTGACTCCGAAACGTTCGAAATGTGTGGCGGCGTACGCCAGACGTTTGGTTGATTTGCCGTCAGCTCAATGGTTGGTCTGGGCAGTCCGCTGCGTTCGCTATAGCTGTTTTATATGGGAGGAACGACGTTGATGACTTCAAGGTCTTATTGAACCCAATATTTCAAGACCTCCAATTTACAGTGGATGAGGAAAACAACAACCAGTTGCACTGCCTCGAAGCGAATGTTGCAAGGACGACTCGCGGGAGGATACGAAGTACGGTATACCGTAAAACGACGAATACTAGACGCATTCTCACATTCCGAAGTAACCACCCTATTGGACACAAGCGCAGTTGTGTCAGAACTGTCTTCAAGGAGCTTAAACACACTGCATTGACGATGACGACGGAAGAGAAGAGGAAGTAAAATGCCTACATACTTTAATCGCAGCCAATGGTCACCCACAATCCTTCTTACGTGAGTGCCGACGAAGGCCTACCCGTGAGGGATCTAACAGTGAGAAGCTTTAGTTTTGGATCGCGATCCCCTACGTGAGGGTTGTTTCTGAGGCGACAGCTAGAATCCTGAACTCTTTTGAGATTGGAGTCACCCATATACAGGAATCCACTAACACGCAGCAGATAATGAGACCCAAGGACTCGCAACCGCTAGCTGAACAATCAGCGGTGGTAGACAACATACCTTGCCAAAATTGCAGTGCGAGGTATATTGGTGAAACGGGCAAACGCCTCTGCAAAGACTGCATGAGCGTCAGCTTGCAGTCAGTGGCGAGGATAGACTGTCACTGGCATATGGCCACATAGAACAAGAATAACACAGTTTCGCCTTTGGGAAGCAAGTGTCGTCAGCTAAGCCATTAGCACGATGTCCAGCCTGGTGCACGAAAAATTGGTTTTAAGTAGGCTAGCAGGGACAGACATTCAGCACACTGATGATGGAAACGAGGAGGTTTCCGAAACGTAAGAACGAATACACTGTGGTACATGAAATCTCTTTTTTCTTCGTCAACTTTTGGGGATAATGAACAGGAAATTTTTTCCGGACATCGAATATTCACACTGGATGACATAATTAAATATATTGCCAATTAAAACAAAATGTGCTCCCCGGGGAAGAATGAAAAGGAGAGGCGGCCACGGGAACCATTGGATTAATAGGCTGACGTTTCGAAAGCAGACAAGAATCCATCTTCGGGTGTAGGTTCCGTACGTCGCCTCACGGTATTTATGGGTGCTGAGCATGTGGGCATGCTGTCAATCCTACCGCTATCCGCGCAGGATGCACTTCAGGGGAGGGGGGGGGAGGATTTGGTCGCTGTCATGCTGGTCGACGTCTTTCTTCCCCACCTCGTCGGGGAGCGGTGTTGGGATGGCAGTGGTCACTGACCTCGTCTGCATCGCCCGCATTTGTTATGCGTTCCCCGCATATCTCGTTTATTGTGTTCCGTTTGCGTCTGTCCGTGTTCGCCCCCTCGGTGGTTGCTGAACCATTGCTGGCGTCTCCTTTCTTATCGGGCTGGCGACCCCGTACTCAGTTTTTTGGGCGTGAACTGTGTTCACTGGCGTCCGTGTTCCTGACTTCATGCCTTCGATTCCGTTGATTATAAGGCCTGGTAAGCTGCCGGGAGGATCGTGCAACGGTTGATGAAAGCTGGCACGTTGTGCCAGGCTTCGAACGTTTCCCTGGCTTTCTGGTCAATACCTGGTCCTAGGATTTAGGCGTTCAACCTATCTTTCTAGATAGTTTTACGCCGATTTACGAGACAACAGATATCAGAGAAAAAGACAAGGGACTAGACTGTTCCTATCAGACGTCGAAACCACAAACGGGAGAACAACTGGAAAACAAAAAACTTGCGAGAACTGAGAAAACACCAAATACAAGTGACGCAAAAACCGACGACTATACTACGCAGCCAGCTTGTAAATTCTGAGGTTAGGGCCGGCTATTTGGATTAGTAAGACGTCGTCTATGAGATTGCAGGTGGCACCTGCAGAGCGGTATACTGTGGTCAAACCGAAAGTCGGCCTCTATGCGACTTCACAAATTCCACTTGGCAGTAATGAGACGAGACAAGGTATCTGAAGTCGTCATACATTTGCTAGAATCCGTGAACAAATGTACCTGGTGTGAAACAGGCATTATCGATCCCTGCTGCGTAATAAAAGCCGATAATTTCTGCGGGCCACTCCTTCTGATGCCTCAGGCATAAATCGGCGCATTGATCTGAAGTCCGTGCACACAAATCTCAAGTAAAAAGGAAAAGGCGTATAGACAATCAAACGGGTGTTAGCACACCGCATTGTCCGATTGGCAGCGCTGACAAAACAATATCGATTTCCAGAGGCACCTTCAAATTTTAACTGTTTTCAACGATTCATTATCAGTATCAGTGTGTCAGTGTATTTTACGGAAAGTAGGTTTGTACCTTTAAAATCCCTATTGGTTTCATGCAGCGGAAGTATATGGAGAAAAGGCAAAGCCAGTAACATGAACGAAATACAAGAGGAATAACAAAAGTTGTACAGATGAACAGAGAATTGCATGCGTTGACAGCATTTAAACGCATATGAACTCGGTTTGTTGATTAAATACAGCAGACATTTGAAGCACACCTAAGATACAGTAAAAGAAGTAAAGTTATTTTCAGTCTGCAGTCAGCATGGTGAAAGCAAGCGGCGGTGTGCGACGTGGATCAAAAGAAATAAGTTACAGAAACATGTGTTACTTGAATATTGGTAGTAGCATCGGCATAACACTAAATTGTCCACGTTGGTTATCAAGGTGGCTGTAGTCCGGCGTTTTTGCGGTGCGCGTTCCAATAACGATCTGGCCTCCGTTTAAAAGTGTCTACGCATCCCGACATAACAACATCCTCAGCCAAAGCATTCTCAGCTGCAACCACTCTGTTGTAGAAGAGGAAGGAGAAGAAGAAGAAGAAGAAGAAGAAGAAGAAGAAGACGAAAAGAAGAAGAAGAAGAAGAAGAAGAAGAAGAAGAAGAAGAAGAAGAAGAAGAAGAAAAAGAAGAAGAAGAAGAAGAAGAAAAAGAAAAAGAAATTTCGTAATTCTAGCCGGGTACCAGTCACACGTAGTTTGAGTGGATGGCCTCTCAGGTTAGTCGTAGTCGCCAACTCGAAGAAGTCTCTAATGCAAGGTAGCAGCCTTGATTGCGCACGACGCGGAAAGTTTGTATCAGATCCCAATGTAGCTGTCTGTAACTCAAAGGAAAGAGGTCACGATTAACTAATTGTGTTTCATAGGGTAGTGACCACTGCCCAGGTACAAATTTCGTTGCTGGTCGTTGAACTCTTTCGAGTATGCCGAGGTCTTTAGCGGTCCAGGGTCTCCATGTTTGGATATCAAACTCTAGAGGCGGTCGCACAAAATTTCGAAAGACCTAAGTGAGGCAGTCTTCATGAAAGGAAGAGAACGCCCGTTTGACGAGGCATAGAACCGACATCGCCGACTTGGCTACCTTTGAGCATTGCAGCGAAGGCTTCAACGAGGTTGTGATCCACACACCCAGGTCCTTCTGGGCGTCGACTTCTTGCAGTGGTTTGCCAGTCAGACGGTAGATCGTGCGGTTAGGTGAACTGCTTCCGCCGACGCGTAGGAAGTTACGCTTGTTTACGTTGAACGGTAGACGCCAGTCTTTTGAATATTGCTCGAGTTGGTCTAGATTTGTCTGCAGTCGCGCCTCGTCAACCTCGCTTCGTATGGTACTCTAGATCTTTATGTCATCAGCAAACATTGTGACATCGCAATATAGTTCGTTTGCGCAAACATTGAAGAATACGAGGAACAGTGTAGGTCCAAAAACAAAGCCTTGGAGAGCACCACTCCTGATGGCAACCTCAGCAGATTGCTGGTCACTGACGTGGACGGCTTGAGAGTGGCCGAGTAAAAAGCTTCGAATACACATCAGTAGCTTACCTCCACTCCTGTACGCCAGGTCTGTAAATGTTCGCAGAGACCCGACTTTCGCCCTTGTACAGCGGCGTAATCCACGCCGACTTCCAGTGGGGTGGCAGATATCCGGTCTCGAAGTATGTATGGAGAAGCATGTAGAGTGGTTTCGCCAACGCACCGGCGAGTTCCTTCAAAATCTTCGCAGGAATCTCATCGGGACCCGGTTACAAGTCCGACGATGACCAGAGGAACCTGCATCGAAAATATACGAAATAAAGCTTGAACACTTTGCTATAGGGCTCATTTCTCCCAGAATTATATTTGTTGGGCTGCCAATCTTCCAGTGCATACGTATGCAAATATAAATATATATGGTAGTGAGACGCTTACAGATCGTGTTACGGAATTTACTCGTCTCATTGTGCATCGTGGCTCCTTCTCGAACCAACCAGCGGCCGCACTGTGGCCTGTACTATAGACAGAATCATATGACCGACAAAGACAAGGGAGATTGAAACGACCATTTCTGACGTATTAGTCCTTGTCAGCCAGTCATTCCCAATCCCGAAGTCGGCTCGAACTCCCAGCCTGTTTGTTAGAAATCCACGTCTCAAACCACCGGGCCACGAGCCCGTTGCCCTGTCGGTTTTCGATCGGGAAT